AACGGTCATGGTGATAAAGGGCGAGGGTCATTTTGGCGAAAAACGATTACGCCCATTTTAACCATGTCAATTTCAAAATGCAAAAACTAAAAAAAAAAGAATTAGAAATAACTTAACAAGATAAAAAAAACTTTAAAAAGTATATTATCGGTGATTAAACACGTCATACTCATACACATTACTTTTTACTTAAAAAGATTTAACTTATATAATTACACTGAAATTTTACTTAGGTATATTTTTACACTTACAATTTTACATTAATACATTTTACTTACATTTTTTTTCCACTGAAATATTTTACTTACATTTTTGACACTATTGTACGTTTATATAACGAATTTCATACTATGAATACAGAATAATGATATGAAAATGAAAATAAAACAAAATAATTTTTGGAGGATAATGAGAATTGCCTCCTCGTCATGTCCTTAAGAGGATGTCAGCGCACTATTTGTTTTCTCACTCTGACCCACACGCAACATAGACGAAACGAATTTACGCAGAAACATTTTTTCTATGTTTTTAAGTAATCTTAGAGTAAAATCACCCATTACAAAAAAGATAGAGAATGATATTTTATAGGGAATGTCATATCGATTTGTCTAAATATTGTCTCAAAACAATTTAAACATCATTTTAATGTACAAAATTTTTTTGTTTATTTTGAAAGTAGAATACAAAGTCAAATAATAATAAAATATAAAATCGATATGCCATTCCTTCAAAAATATTATTCTCTATCTTTTTTGTAATGCGGGTGATTTTACTCTAAGTTTCACCGGCGCCGAACACATATGGCAAGTGGGGTAAATACCCCAGAACATTTTTAGTTTATGGGGGGGGTGGGTACTTAAAAACATAGAAAAAATGTTTCTGCGTAAATTCGTTTTGTCTATGTTGCGTGTGGGTCAGAGTGAGAAAACAAATAGTGTGCTGACATCCTCTTAAGGTAATGCTTAATGGTTCTCAAAAATACTATAAGTAAATTATTAATTAGATATAAGAAGATTTCGGTATAATATTTTTATTAGGGCCGAGTTTACGTCATCATTAAATTACCCGACAAGAACCCTAGACGAGTTTACTCGTCAATCATATTTAAGTACCCAAAAAAAACCTATATTTTATGATCTAAAACTCACAGATTCGAAATATTTTTCGCTTCAGTACGGAATAAGCATAATATTCGTTTGTTTCTCTTTTTAATATACCAGATACCTATAAAACCTAGGTATATTAGGTACCGACCTATATGGCTATATACCGGCTAGTAGCGCTATAAATTAAAGTAGTCCTTAAAGTCTTTTATGTGCAAATAATATGATATCAATATCCAATAGGCGGTTGCTATAGTCGTTATACCTAACTGGTAAACTGGTGGGTACCTAAAACTATATAATAATTATAATGCCCGACTAGTGTCCTTGAGAATCCTTGATTGGAATTTCATTCAAGTACGAATGAGGTTCCGTTTGGAGGTCACATACTGCTTATTAGCTGTTATATAACACAATATACGCCTTTTATGCCGACGTCGCTTAAGTCCTCGAGGGGAGAGCTACAGATGTGAAACGTCTAAAAAACCGAATTCGCGGCAATTCGTTTCTCAAAAACACAATGTTACGATTGTTACGTATACAAAGCCGTATAACAGGCATATTATATGATTTGAATAATAGTTACTATTGTATCGTAGGTAATAATATTTATAGTAAAATCGCCGTACGAATAAGTATACAATAAGCGAGTCTAGGCACCTACGTAACCGGAGGGCGCCGCGCCGGCGGCAGGCGTTGACGAACACGCACGGCGGTTCGGGTTTTCGGTCCAGTCGGCGGGCGGGTAGCGGCGGCGGCGGCGCGCAATTATTACGTGTTGCCCGAACGGCCACCGGAGATTGTCGGGGCCGGTGGGGAGACACGATGGACGGCCGTGTCGGCCCCGGCGGTTGGCCGAAAATGACGTCAACGAGGACCGTCGACCAATAACGGGCCGCGACTTCGGACGGGCGCCGCGTTCCCGCGAAATTCCTCCGCGCCGTCGTCGTTACGCCGGAACCCGAACCTGAACCCGCGCGCCCGCTCTCTCGCCGCTAGTCGCTACTTCCATATCATTATCTACGCTCTGCACAGTACTCTGCCGACCGACCGCCTGTCGCCTTATTCCGCGCCATCGACGTCCGCCAAAATTGTCCACACCGACTTTCAACGAGAGAAATCGCCCGTCAACGCAAACGGTCTTCGAGAACATATTTTACAGTTCCGGTGGTGTGCCACGACGAGGATAATTCTTTGACGAAGATCTTCAGATATTCACCAAGGCGTCGAACGTTCACCGATTTGCGTCGCAATTTGCATGCACATCTGGTAAGTCTATAATATTATATTATTTTACTGTTATTATGTGGCTATAGTATTTGCCCATTTTTCTTTTGCCGACGAACAAAGTATGTCGTTTTTTCTACCCCGTTCGATAGGGACATTTTAATATTATTACGATTTGGATAGACGTGTTCAGATTTGTCGTTTCGTTATTACGTTCGTAGATTTGACATTTTATACCCCATTGGACTATAATACGAGGACTATAACATTGTAATGTCACTACTTCTCTGCTTGCCTTAATCAACGTTTTCTTACTGTTATCTTCGATCTTAATTTGTTACCAGAGCTATGGCCTTAATTGACACGTGAAAACATGTTTCTAAGAAACCTGTTGAGACTATGAACCCATGGATAATTAAAGACCTTAATTATTAACCATGTATGAACCTAACCATGAAACAATCAAATATGAATTAAATATTTAAATGTTGGTTTAATTTTGTGAAGTAGATTTTGGTGCAATGGATGTTTAGTAGGTAAAGTCTGAGAACACCTCGTTACTGTAATACTATAAGTGACATTAAATAACCTTGAAATTATTTTCAAGGCCAAAATGGAATTCTAAAAATTATATACCTACAGTACCAGGCGCGTATCCAGAATTTTATTTCGGGAGGGGCTGAACAAAATGATCAACATAGTCACACAATAAAATAAAAAAGTGGTAAAGTGGATGTCGCTCTGCTGTACAGTAGGTACTGTAATGGATGGTGTAAAATTTGAATTCAATGATATAATATCATTGTATAAGAAAAACGATTCTAAGCGAAAACGGTCAGTCAGCCTATGATATTATTGTGAATAAAGTAATTTATATATTTACCTATTTACGTGGACCATTGTTTTAAATTTTCAATCCTTAACTATGAAAGTTGAACATTTTATAAATTTTTAATTACAAAATATTTATTACATTTTAAATTTGATAAATTTTGTCAAAATTCGAACTTTAAATGATTATAAGAAAAAATTGAGCCTATGTATTTTTAATATTTTTCAACTAATATTGTTACAATATATCAGGAGCCTTGAATTAAATTTTCACGCTTTTTTACCCAACAAAAAAATTTTTATTGATATTTATAGAAAAAAACTAAGAAAAATGAAAACTGTCAATGTCCGTAAATAGCTCAAAAAGAGGCAAAATATTTTCAAATTTTTTTGGTGTGTAAAAAATGAAAACATTCAGAAAAATTTTAAGTTTTGTGATTTTTCCGTATTTTGTCAAGATTCGAACTTTAAATGCTTATAAAAAAAACTATGACTAAGGATTTTTAATATTTTTCAACTGCTATTGTACTAATAAAGCAGGAGCCTAGCTTGTATTAAATTTTCAAGCTTTTTTACCCAACAAATAAAGTTTTATTGATATTCATATTTTTTGGATGTTCTTGAAATTTCAGGGGGGGCTGCAGCCCACCCAGCCACCCCCATAAATACGCCCCTGTACAGTACCGTATTACTATTAATTATAATTATACATAGTAGGTAGATGAAGTTATGTAATATTAGATTTATGAATATTTAGCATTTACTAATTGGTATATTTTGGTTTTTAGAATTATAAAATATAATAACTAGGTACCTATCGCATAATTCCGTTGATTTTTGCTGATACTTTAAACTTCTAAAAATCATTTGCTATACCCTATAGATTATAGATAAAATAACTTAAATTCACCAAAGAGCATCTAAGTCTATTCGGCAATCACTAAGCTTGCTATTGTTAATTTACAAGATCCTTTTGGTTTATTTATCTAGATTTATTTTAAATCGATCTGACCAACGGAAACTATAGTTGTGCATGTTGTAAAATGTCATAAACTACCTATCTGACCTCCCCTATAGAAGACATTTTTAGAGGCGGTGGTGCAGCAAAATATCTATTGGCCACTAAATATAAAAATTAATTATGACATTTTAACAGAACTAAATACTAAAGAAGACTTACTTATAAATGTATTATCTCCATGATGTACGCCTACACATAAAATGTATATTTTGTAGAACCAATATGCTCAAGGTCAATATTAAAGTTCATTAACCCATTCTAAAATCTATCAATGCGAATTGACCAACTTATTTGAAGTGTTTTTAGATTGTTCAATTTTATAATAAAAACTAAACTCTACTAAAACATTGGTAATCATCAAATTCGATGGTTATTATTAATTTATAGTATTGACCCTAAAATAGTAGAACTTATGGCATATCAGTTTTTTTAAAAATATGTTTTGAGAAGCGCTTATGATATATATATTATATTATTCAATATAATTAATAAAATTGTTTTTTTTTTCAGGTGAGCCCTGAATTACTGTCTCCTGTAAAAGGGAGGTATTACTGTTGTGAATCAAAAGCACCATTACTTTTGTAAGCACCAAAGCGAACTCAAAAGTAAGTACAATTTTTGGAAACACACATTTTACATATATTTGATGTAACACTCAATGATATTGTTTTATCTAGACCAAGCCATCATGTTCTACTGCATCCAAAACTGTGTTATCTTCATGTCTTGCCGAGAAAACCGGCACCCCAAACGTGAACGTTCAATTGCTCCAGCCATCAACACATCAAACGGTCTTGGAGACCAGTTCAAGTTCACTAATGTACGATGCACCCACCAAAATGGAGGGCTTAGTGGATGAATTTTTAAATATGTGTGCAAACGGTAAAAATTGATTATTATTCATTAGAGTGTAATCCGAGTTGTTAAACTTAATTTTCATGTTTTATTATAGAGAAAAATAAATGCGATAGACAAGCACCCGGGATTATAAACTCAAGTAACAGCACTAATGACATAACTATGTACAGAGAAGACGAGCCGTATTTAGACATGTTTCAAATGAACGCGCCTGCTTTGTTGGCGCCATTCTCAACACCTCAAAATGTTTTCACAATCGATGACGAATTTCAAAAGATTACCAAACCAGAGATAGAACTAATTATACCTTTAGAAGATTCAGCTTTTAAACAACCCATATCTTTGAGAAAAAACTCAACCCTCAGATTAGATGTCGGGCTACAACAAGTTCAGTCAACTAGTTATGGTGACATTTTAAACACACCAGAAGTTGTAAAAACGCTGACTGAACAAGAATCTGCTTTCAATCTATTAGCTTATGTCTTTGATGTAAGTTTATATGTTCACAACTAAATAATTTTATTCAGTTTTAGTATATAATTGTTATTTTTTATAGGAAAAAAAAACTGACAATTTGGCTGAAGTACCTACACCCAAAGATGTTACTGTATCACCAACCTTACAGTGGTCTCGGAAACGACGCAGTAGTAATTCATCAGCTTCAATACAAACAGACGATGATGACTATCCTAAGCACAGAAAGCCTAATGAAGATTATCATTCATCTGACGATAAGTATAGACAACTGAGGGACCGTAATAACGAAGCATCTCGAAAGTCTAGGGCCACTCGAAAAGCCAGAGAAAATGAGCTAAACGGCAGCGCTAGTCAGTTGGAAGCTACCAACAGAAGGTTAACTATCAAGGCTGAAGAATTGGAGAAAATGGTCAACGATATGAGACAAGCTTTATTGAAAATGATGACAAAGAAAAAATAAATAATACAAAAAAAATCCATCTATTAACCTCTTCTAATTAGGCTGAAAAAATTGATGTCAGGCTCGTAACAGATATTCATTTTACATATTATAATCTGTGTGCTTATTAAATATTTTGTAACGTTTCATTGCAAAAATTTATAATAAATAATTCCATGAAAGTATATAAGATAACAATTAAGTTTTGAATTACAGTAGTATTAATAATTATAATAATTTATATTTTATTTTTTGAATCTAAATATATTATTATTTTTTTTTTTTTTCAATATTTTATAAGTAATAAAATATAATTTTAATTTTGGATCATGGTACATTATGCATTTATTATTGATTGTTTTGTTATTATTATAATCTTTTATTCATACAGGACTGGCATCAAAATTTGTTTGTTAAATTCTTTATCGAAAGTGCAAGTTTGTACAAGTTTTTTATCAGTAAAGCGTCTTCAGTAATCACTATCCATAGAAGTATAGAACTATAAGCGTATAGACAGTGGCACTTGGAGTCAGCTCTTGGAGAGAAAAAACCAACAAATGAGGTAGCTGAGAGAGGAAAAACTATGTGCTTGAGTGTTTTCTCACTCACTGTGTCTCTGCCCATGAACTGTAAGCCAGGGTGGTATGGTAGGCGCTGTCCATTAGTTTCCACTGTTTCCAGTGCTTCTATCACAATCATATTATTCTATATTCTATTCCAAATTAGAATGGAAAAATCTCACGACAAAACCTTGTCGCGTTCTCGCATAACGGGCAGTCTCTTTGGCTGCCGTTGGTGCGCGGCCAATTACAGAGGTTCTACCATTCCAAGGCTGCTCAGTTTTTCCATTCTTATTTGGAATAGAGTATAATATTCTATCAAATATTCTCTAACCATAATCATTGATTATAAAATTATTTAATAATCAATTCTGCTATATTAGTGGTTTTCAACTTGGGGTTAGCCAAAAATAATGAACTAAATTTTTTTTCATATAAAAGTTATTATAAAAAAATATTATAAATATAATTATTTGTTTAGTATGATAACATGTCGATTATTTATCTAAGTACACACTATAAAAAATATTTATGTTCTATTATAAATTCTTTGAGGGGTCACATTACAAAAATAAATAAAAATGGGAGTTGTTATTCGAAAAATGTTGAATACCACTGTGCCATATCAATATTTCATTAATTAAAACTCTTATCTTTATCATGGGTAGTGATTACTACTAAAATTGTTGTAGAATTTCATTGATTCAAAGGTTATGAGTGTTATGACATGTTTAGGATTGAATTCTAACATATTAAAATAAAATAATGACGTCAGAAAAAATCTGGTAGATAAAATACTCGTTCTACTACAGTACTACTGTAATGGATGATATCAGATTTATCATGATTTTTACCACTAATTGATGTTTAGTTTGACATTGATAATTTTAATTATTAGTTCAATGACAGCAGGCCGGTGCTAAGATTGGCAGTATTTTAGAGAAAAATATATATATGGCCTCAATATGAAATCTTTGATGTTCAAGCCGATATGGCAATACATGGAGATAATTACTGAATGGCAAACTAAAAATTCAGTTTCAAAGGCCCGATATAATTAAAAAAATTGCTAAAAATCTGATGCTTGCCACCAATATCAAAAAAAAAAAAAGTACCTATAATAGGATAGGTTCTGTAATAGTTTTATTTGTATATTATTATTTATCAATATGAGTATATAATGCAACATCATTCTATTGGTATTTTCAAACTCAAATATAATGTGACATTGAGAGAAATCTGTTAATTAGCCATTGAACCGCATAACAAACAATAATAAATTGAGAAATTAAGAGGACGTTTCACCCGCATTTGTTGTCTTACACATGTATGGCATAGCAAACACTGCTTTGCGTGGGAAAGAACCGAAAAGGCCTAAGTAAGAAACGAAATTTTCACCACATAAAAAGGAGAACTTTGGCTGTGCAATATAATCGTTTTTATTTTTTCGTTATCGGAACTTCAAAAAAATGTATTATATAAGTATTAATATATATTATAATATTTGTAATCAATGGTACGAACTTGAAATTTGGAATAGCAGTCTCTTTAATGAGCTAGATGTGCAACAATGAAAGATATTCCGAAATTCGTATTTTAAAGAGGTGTACAAAAAAATTTTGAGATTCACGATGGAATTGAAATTTTTTTTTTGTATATAGGTAATTGGTTTGACATAGGTTACTCGGGCAAATGAAGTACAACATTGTTGAGCTTATGGCATCGAATAAACAATTAATTATACCTTAAAAGTTAAGACAATTAAATATTAATATTATGGGAGTCTATTTATTTTATAAGATGATTCTTCTATATTATTGTTGCCTACAGACTCAAAAACCACTCACAGACTTCGACAACAATTTCAGATTGTCTTAGAGTTATCAGGAAAGTATAGATAGTATAGTTTGCATAACGTTCGGTAATATACCAAGTGCTATAAAATCTCAACTGAGGACTGCAGTGCACCAAAACCGATAGGTAGGCCAATAGAACGAAGTGATGTGTTCCTATTAATATTTAATTGATAATGTTTTCCCGGGAGCAGTGGCGGCACCAGGTTTTTTTTGTCTGGGTGGGCCAAGCTGGGGCCCCACTGATTTAAGGGAGGGCCAGTGGCGTAACAAAATTCGCTAAATAATATAATATAATAGATACCTACCGTTATTGGCGTATTATTGCTACCACCACCACACAGTGAGTAGATCGGATTGTGTCAAAACCCGGTACAGACAAACTAATTTTATAAATGTTAAAATATTATGATGTAATTCTAAGCAAAAATAATTTTAAATCATACAGGGTGCCGGGTGGACAACCCGGGGGCCGAGAAGATTTTAGGGTGGACAGCCCACCCCTGGCGCCGGCAAATCTGATTATACAACTACATATCGACATACGCAACGAATAAGGCAGTAACTCAATTTTCCAAATTTTTTTTTATTTTATTTTCTATAGGGTATCGCTGTTTTTCTGGAAGTCCAGCGAAGACGGCAGTAACTCTATTTCATTGTCTAGAACGTATTCGTTGCGTAGGTCGATACATCAAAAACCACCGGAGAAGTGTGGCACATATATTATTGTATCCAATCCGCCGTAGGTTGGATTAAGTAAAACTACATGTTACAACCTTGGCATAACTTTGAAACTTAAATATGTAGTTGGAAATTATACACTCACCTACACACCTCGCGAGGTTCGCAAAAAGAAAGAATTTTCCAAAATGCACATTTATAACTCTAAAGTGGCGCTATGAAATTCTACATGGTCAATGGAAATCAAACATTTGTTTTTTGTTTTTAATTAATTGTTATCATTGGTTAAAAGTTATAATAAAAACAGAAGACAATTTTCTGTTTTGAATACCATTAGATCCTTACACCGAATATTAAAATAATAAAGAATTGAACAAATTTTGAGTCGTATTATGGAGTTGGCATAATAATGGGCAATGAAGTGCATGGGATCAGCTAGTTATGTAACGCAATTATTGGCTTATAATATTGAATAACTGCTTAATTATTACAGACTGCAGTAGAATATTTTAGATTATAATCATCTTAATCGGTAAAAATAATTTAGTCCCGTTTTTGTGGCTTTTAAATCTGTAATATTTCTGTTTGAATAATTAAAAGTAAAAACATATTTTTTTTTAAAATTATTATTCTATTACTCTATCTAAAAAATGTAATTACTATAACATCAGTATGAGTGGTAGTTTGAACACTGTGTACTCGAACTGTTAAATATAATATTACAATTGCAATGTTTATTATGTCTCAACGATAGAAAAACATTTTTATTTACATAGTAAGTATAAAAATGTATTTTATCATATGACATCATGATGAAATAATTGGTGTATTTCAGTTCTTTGTAATATTATTTAAATTTGTAGCTCACAAGGTTAATTCTTGGACTAATTAGTAAAACTATGCAATTGTAGCAAATGAGTAATAAGGTTTATTATGAAAATATGTTAAACGGTATAACTTATTTGAATAATTGAAAGGTATATTTGAATATTAAATGATTTATTGCAAACAATCAGCCCACAGATAAAAAATCTTTCAAGTATTTTACAAATTGGCATCGAGCCATGCAATACCAACAGTCAGAAGATATTAAACATTTAGTCGTGGAACCTTTCAACATTAATATTAAAATGTTGATGTGCATTGTGCACACACACAACTTACAGGAGACACATAGGAATAAATAAATTGAAAAAATTACCTGCACTTTTTGAATTTGAAAATTAAACAATCTTTTAATAAGAATACAAATTTAAAATAACAGTTTATTAATTTTTTTATTTATTTTAAATATATAACTTTATTGTTAACAATATTTGACTCTTTTAACAGAAATCAAGTCTTTAAGGTAACATACACTATACACAGCTCGACATAAAACATAAAATACGAATGCACAAGCTTTAAAAATGCTTTAGTCCTAGACGTCCAACTACACAAAACAGTACTAAAGATATTTTCTGAATATTACACACTTGAACATTCGTTTTTATTTATTTATTTATTTATTAACAAACAATGTTTGTGTAAGTATAATAAACTAAAATAATTACTTCAAATTAAAAAAAAATCAAGCGACAAGACATTAAATATGACGACTGACTTTTGGAACTCCTGGTAATTTTTACTATATAGGAATACGATTTTCATAAACTTCCCCTGCATTATTATGATTCAACAATAGGAGGTTCAATGTTGGACGGAGGAGGTTTGGTGATGACTAATGTTTTAGGTGGCAGGTTTGCGTCTGCAGTGGTGCGTGGCACGTGTTTCAACGTGACTGCACGCATGGGCACAGTATCAGGTGAAAGTGGAGTGGCAGGCACCTGAATAGTTTCACCGTTGTGCATTGTTAGCCATGTCATCTTGGTGCCAGCATGCATACCATTTGCATGCGATTTGAGTCCTTGAATAGACACATAACTTTTGCCGCAGTGACATTTGTACTTCTTATGAACTCTAGAACAATTTATATTTTGTATAAGAATCTTTTTTTCTAAGCTAAAAAAGAATTTGTTAATTATTAACACAACTCACTTGCCGTTCGTATGCCCATTTTTAACATGATACTTTATTCCATTAACATTTTTATACCTTTTAGTACAACCTGGAATTGGGCAAGCAAATGGTCTGATTGGCTGCTCAATCTTAACTTTCTGTTGTGAACTAAAAACAAACCATTTTATTATCCAAGGATTAATTTCTATAAATACTATTGTTATTTAGTTTCTGTCTTACTTGGAACCATTTTTATGAGCGTCATCGATTGCATCTGATGTAGTAGACCATGAGTCACTGCTGTCACCAATATGATCAAGGTTTTCAGCTTCTCCTTTATCAGATTCATAACCTAAGAAATAGTGCAAAGTTAAATTATAAAACACATACACATAAGATATTGTCGTTTTTTTTTAAATTACCAGTTCGTAATGGTCGATGGAATATGTTGGGTGCTGGTGGTAAAATACTGGTTTTGGGCTGAATGACAGGTTCTGCTGGTTCGATTTCGGTTTTGTTTACATTCTCGCTGAAAAACCGCATAACACAACTGAGCGGCAAGCATTGTTGTTCAGTGCGATCAATCAGCTCTATCGGTTTAGGATCAGTATCTATTATGTGTTAAATCCAAATGAATATTATACAAATCTAAACATCCGAAATATTAATAATACATTAGTTGATGGTTGTCTTGTTATAAAATTGAAGTACTTCATTTACTTAACTCTCAATTAATACTGTCAAAACAATCTAATAAGTATATTAGGTATATTATAACTGTATATATTTAACTGATGAATGGACTCTCCCCTATTTTAGCTATTGATTAAATTAAATTTTTAGATTAGAGATGTGTCATTACTACTTTGTATGTACATTATATATAAAACGTAAGCTTTAATGTTATATTTATATAAAACAAATAGTTTCAATCATGGATATTACTTTTGATGATAATTTAGGAAATAAAACTTTTATTATTATTACTATTATAAATAATAACATTTCCCAAGAAATGTCCTAAATGGCTAAATGCCTTGAATGAAATGAATCGTTTATCACAACATTGCAGTAATTAATTAGTAATTTTTAATAAATATTGTAGATAATGTTATAAAGTAAATTTTATTTATGTTTCTATCCAACTTTTATACTCTTTGATGAGCTCTTCTATACTCTGTTCAGCAAGAGAACGTTCAAATTATGCGCATCCCTCCGCGTCACCATCCTATCGAAACCGGTTTTCCAATAGCAGGGTTTTGCGTGGAACCAGTTTTTGTCGGTTAGTGGAGCGGTCTCTTGCTGAACATAGTGTAGGGTTCATTGGATTGCCTCGTGCACACAACTATGATACTGCATATTATAAAGTACGTTAGATACAAAAATAAGAACTCTTCAGGAAGCAGCATGTTTAGCCTGGACTACAAGGATTTCAAAAATGTAATTGGAAAGTGAAATGTAAGACTAGTTACTAGTAGCCAATAGGTAACATGTGCCTGTATAACTAAAAATTCTATAGTAGTTTACTAATTATCCAAGTGAAGTACTTAAATTGTTACATATCCTGTATAAGCTATTGTTTGTAATTGGAAATGCAGTTTGATTTTAAAAAAATATATACATTTAAAGATGCATAGTATTATAAACATCATTAATGAGTAGGTATACGTTTAAGTTTACAAAGAATTTTGTTTATAATTAAAAATTTATAATATTTTAAGATAGGATTTTGATTAGGTCCCTAAGTTATTTTTTAGGTGCATTCAAATGACAACCTATTAATATAGTCATTAAATTATAGTTTATTAAAAATATACTTGAATGTCAATGGTCATCGGACAGTTGTTTCTAATATGTTAATATCACTAATATAAGTGAAATGCCAGGGTTAAATTTCAAAAATAAAAATACTAAAATAGATTGGATACCTTAATGATATGTAAAAAGTATAGTATGTGTAAAGTATGTTTAAGATTACATATTAATATAGCTACCTCTGGTACATACATATCAAACATCCTTGAATATATAAAAGAATTTTCTTATTATTCTTGACAAATAATTAATATGATTTTCAATTTCAATTTATCATCATATTACAATTCAAGATATTTATTATTTAATATTATCTTCCTTTTCTAATAAATTTAACTAGAGCGACAGTAAAAGTATTACAAAGTTAACAATTATTAGGTACTAAAAAATGACTAGGAAATAATGTCAGCTCCTACATAAAATGGGCAATTTCATTATTGCCTTAACATTACCTAATGATCATCATTGCTATTTATACAGGACAATATAATTTAAATATAAAGGAAAAAACTAATATTTGATCATAGGTTAATGATCGTATACAAGAGTTATTGTGTTCTAAAAAAATTTAACAATTCATTAATATTGGTATTATAAAAATACTTCTTTAATATAGGTACAATTCATGGCTTAAAATGGGCAATTTAAAAATAACTGATCTTAAGCAATAGAAAACAAAAAGTAATTTATTGTGATTACTGATTAATTTACTACAATTAGCCAAATTAAATTATGGTGCAAATCATTTTGGAAATACCGGTAGTCGTATAACATATTACAATATCTGTACGATTATGAAATACATACAATATTAAGTGATCAGCTATCAATAAATATTATAACATTATAGATTAAATTAATAAGAACTATCAATTTAATTGCATTTGATAAATGTAACTAAGAAATGGCCTTCAGAAATTAATTATCTCCAATAATTTATATGTAAATAAATGACTGAAAATATATTTTAAAAGGTACTTTATTTTTAATTAGTGAAAACAAAATGCATTCATAGCTAATATTAATCGACAGACAAAAACGCAACCGGGTGAGAGTTTGATCTAAGGATTTGATGAAATTCATCACACGAGGACGGTGGACGGAAACTCATATTTTGGGCTAAAGAGCATAAGGAACAAAAAAACCGGGGGCCTCGGCCAAGTCGAAAAAAAAAATATAGTAGTACCTATACAATACACCGGGGAGAAGGGGGGATCTAGAATTTTTTTATTTTTTTCAAAGGGTGGGGGGAAGGATCTAAATTTAAATCTATACACAATTGGGTCACACACGAGTCTACCGACGGGGCATCGGCGGCCGCGAAGGCGCGGTCCTCGGTACGGAAAGGTCACCGCGGCGGTCGGACCGGTCGGGAGGGAAAGGAAAACGGGCGTAGAGGCGAGAAATATAATAAAAAAGGTCGCCGGCCTGGGAACACGTTCGGCGCGCCGACGGCCGAACGCGGTGAAAATGGTTATGTTTTTTTACCTATGTGATTGTCTTCGATGTGCTGGATGAGATCGTAAAGGTTTTTGAAGCACAAACCGCAGTTGTTGAATTTACATTCGTTTAACAGGAATACGGCCATTTATATCCAGCAGCTGAACGAAAGTCACAAGGGTCTCTGGGTGTTAACAGAGCTGCGTGATTATCAGCTGATCGCGACTGCCGACTAGCTGACTGCGCGCGCGGTCCACTCCCCCTGCCCACCATAGAATCACGGGCGGCGGCGGCAGCTGTTTTCCAATGTGGCCCTGCCGCGCGGCCCGTGCAGCGCCGCAGCGGTCGTCGATCGTCGTCCGCGCCAATATGTTCCACCGAGATCTATATTTGTACGGCGATCTATAAATTGTCGTCGGTAGTTAGAAAATCGTTGCCGTTCGCGCTGATGGGTCGATGATGATCGTCCGCACGTCCATGGTCGTCCAGCGGCGGAACTCGGCACCTTTCGCGACGAAAACCCAATATTGTAAAGCGAATTTTCTTTTTGGGTCTGCCGTTCACGGTAGAGACTAGAGACGTCGAACTACGACCGTAACCGCGGTGACGTTTCGCAGTTTGGACTCACTGGTGGTCGAGGTGACCTCAACCGATACACTGCTGAAACGTGTACCGCAACCGCTGTCCCGCGCCGTCGGTGGGGACTACGGGTGGGCGGCGGTCAAATCGAATGCCTATAGACTATAATTAATTTTTATTATTACTATTTGCCAACGCGGTTTACATAATTACGTTATTTTACTATTTTTTAAGGACTCGAGTACTTAACATATTAGATACAACTGTACAAGCCACAAGGTATCTATCCGAACGATTCGCGACCACAAGTTGTCGAAACTTCTTTAATCGTATAACATAGGCATACTATAATATATTTTATATAGGTGCGTAGATCAGTCGATTCTGTGACCTCGGTAGCTGAACTACTCGACTCTATTATCGTATATTTCTAACATTAGTGACTAATGATTATAGATAACGCTGTTTAGCATATTATGTACGATATATAATATCATCATCAATGATGGTTTGTACAAATAATTTAGGCCAATTTATTTATTTAGAGTAAGACTTACGAAAATATAAAATATACGACCGTGCGTTTATCTTATACCAATGCATATGACGTTAGTACGTTACTAGCAAACACTGTGACCCTTTTTATCTATTGATTATAATATTGCAGGCATATTCTTGCAAGTTGAAATATTATACAGTACGACTACAGTATTAGGTAGATACTTGTACAACTTTATTTCAGTACCGCTGATAGGCACTACCTTTATAAAATGCTAGGTGCAAATTAAAAGTTAAAACGAATACAGACTGTCTCAAAAATTTGCGCATATTTAGAAATCATTGTATTTAAAATGCATAGGTAGGTACTATTATTTTAAGAATATTAACAGAACGAATACCGGCTATACCGGCTATACCTATATTTACTGCATATGCCATATACTCACAAACAGAAGTTGTATAATTGTCCATTAGGTACCTACACGCAATATTATACAATATATATATATTAGACATTTATTATAAGTTATAACTTTACGCACACGTAGAGGCGAAGTGTATATAACATATAACTCATAAAGTTACAGCCTTAACCTACCAACAATATATTATGGTAATATACTAATAAGTAATTATAATATGGTTTCAGAATAAGTCAGGATAACTTTTTTGTTCATTTTTAACTATAACCTTTGAATCGGTTTCGTTGATATTGTTTTATTTTTTTCAATAGTACCTACCCAAATAGGTACAATTAATACAGTTTTTATTGCATTTTTGAAATTTGAAATTACTACCGAAGATGGCTACCGTGAATTCATCATAGTATTTCATTAAATTACAAACATTTTACAAATATTATATATATTATAAATCGTACTAAAATTATTAATTACTTATGCATTTTAGATACATTCGTACCAATATTTAAAATAAAAATGAATTAAATGAGTTTTTCTAACTTACAAGTCACTACAATACAAACAAAATATATCTACAGCCTATCTGCGTACCTACCTATCTATACTTTTTTTTTGTTCTTTTTTTTTTTATTAGATAAATAGAATATTTACAATCTGTAATTTTTATATAGACAATAAGTAAATTAGGTAATGAAAGAAACAATAATAACATGAATGGCTTGAGGAAGGAGGCCCACCAGTGTGGGTTCCCCTCTAACTTGTGGTGAGGGATGTCATGGAGTGGACGAAATGGGAAGTGTAATTTTGTTAATTAGGGAAGTAAGAGCCAATAGAAGAGGGTTTAAAATACATTTTAAATCTTCTATAAATTTGTTGATGATGTGGAGAGGTTGATTGACTGATGACGAGTTGGCTGTGGCTTTGGCATAAGATTAAACTATACTTACCTATATTTAATGTTAAATATTCATTCTTATAATAAATTATGTACCTATTGATAAAAAATACGAACAAATAAATACTAAAAAATCTATGAGCATTTGTTATTACATTTTACATGTTTATATTGTTTATATAAAATAATTGCGTCTGCCCCTGGTAGGACTATCCAAAATTAAAGTTATAAAAAAGAAACTTTTATATTTGTAATAAAATTGTTTTTAAAGGCGCTCATCCTTGGGAATAAGGAATTTATAGCTTATAATTATATACATAATATGTACTCAGGCACGCAGTTATAAGCCTATAAATTACTTATAAGTTATAAGCAATAGTCAGGCCGACCAAAATATTAACTAGCCAGTGTCCATTCCAATATACAGGTTGATTCTTTTATCATGAAACACTCATTATTTCAAAAAGTATTAATGTTTTAGGAAAAAATTTTTTTACATAGTTTCAAGTTGTTAAAAAAACAACGTTTTTATTAAAAAATTAGATTTTTAAATATTTTTTATCCTTATGAATTTTAAAGTTTTTTACCTTTTTGAATGACAATGTAGAGTTTTAATTTCATATTCCAAAGCAGAATATTTTTTTAAGTATTTTGATTCATAAAAATCGAATTTAGGACCAGTAGGTAGCTTATGAATTATAAATATTGAAAGTTTAGAGAAGCGGAGTAGTGGACAAACATTTTGCGGGGTAACCCCGTACGGGCCGTACCACACCACTCCGCCCAACAAACTTTAAATACTTATTACTCATAAACTACTAGTCCTAAATTCGATTTTTATGAAACAAAATACTTAGAAAAATATTCTTCTTTGGAATATGAAATTACAACTCTATGTTGTCATTCAAAAAAGTAAAAACTTTAAAAGTTATAAGGATAAAAAATATTTAAAAATATGATTTTTTAATAAAAACGTTGTTTTTCTAACAACTTGAAATTTTTTAAAAAAATATTTTCAAAAAAATTAATACTTTTTGAAATAATGAGTGTATCATGATAAAAGAATCACCTTGTATTGTTGAAATCAGAAATACCTAAGACTAAAATAATTATTGAGTTCAAGTATAAAAAATTAAATGCTATTTAAAAACTTCTATGATATTTGTTATTATTCCATAATTACCTATCTTTAACGTCTTGTTTTAATTATCTAATTAATATGTATAATATTGATAAGTGAAAATATTATATCTATTTTATTATTTTATTCAGCACCTACTACCTAGTCATAGGACGGTTATGGTTGTCGCTACATCTAAACCTTTTGTAGTTTTGTACTTTATAAGTACTTTTATAATTACTATTTACTATAATATACTGAAAATACCTATGAATGTTTCTTCAAAAATCTTGAGTTATTACTTATTGTTTACCATTCCCACATTTCACTAAACAATCTAAAATTGTAATAAAAATTAATATTTTTATTGTTCATGCTAAATTTATAATCTAAAAAATTGTATTGTACACATATTGATTATTCAGTTATTTGTATGGGGAGGAGTAAGTAAATGTTAGTTAAGTAATCTTAGTTATGTGCCTGATAACTGTTATTTGCACCTGTTAGTTATAACTCATAAGTATTATTATAACAATTTCCAGATATAGAATAGGTATCTACTGGCTACTGGCTATTTCATATTTCACGGTTAATATAATATAATATTAAATATTTGCCCAATCCAATAACAATAAGATATTTGAAGTTAATTTGACTGATGTTTAATTTATTAACTATTCGATGCTTCAATATTAATACGTATCTATTTAAAATAATAAAATACAAATTATAAAATATCATTATACAATTTGTTCTATACTGTGTAATGTAAAATAAATTAGAATTCAGAATACATTGACGAATGGTCAATGCTTTATGGAGAAATTAATATTAGGTAATTTTCAAATTTATTTAAATTATAGTTGTATTAGATTAGATTTAGATTATAATAGTTAAAAGTATACTGTATTTAGATTTAAGAACGGTATTTTCAACATAATATTGTAATTGTTTTGTTTATTGTCATTTCAATAAGAGCGATTAACTTTAAAAGCGATGAATTTATATTATATAATATTATAAACTATAAGCGATGCGTATGCAAGTTATTTGTTTTAGTTTAAAAATGTGTATCAATTATCAAATCTGGACTATGTCTTCAAGTAACGAAAATAGTACATCACACTATAATTGGACGATTTGGTCGTACAAAAAACCAAACTAAAAGAAAAATGATCAACTTTTATAGTCTGAGGAGTCGTATTTTGAAAAATGGCGGGACGTATTCCATGGCGCGCGGATTCAAAAGTTCGCCCGCCGGCCGGCCTGTCATCGCCAGCTTTGGTAACCACTGTACTCAGCTGTTCGATCGGCCGTCGGGGCTTCGTACGTCGCATCTCCGACGTTGCCGTACTCACCGGCGCCCTCGATTCCCATTGGTCGACCACGGAGCTGTACTCCGAGCCGCCGCAATGCCGCACGACCCGGTCGCATACTCGCATAGTATCCGTGACGTCGTGTCTATCCGTCCCGTTTGTCTGTCATTCTTTCTCACCGCCGCTTGTCTCGCATCATCCATCCCGGTCTGTACGGCTCCGCGATCGGTAAGTAAAACATCAAATTCATCTTTGCTTATATTTTATCTTTCGAAAACGCATCGCCGGCTTCAACCGATTTACACCGCGTTGTGGTTGTCGCGTTTACCGTCGCCCGAAGCCAACGGGTGAGGCAGCGACCTATCCGCGCCGTCCGCCATCTTTACCAGTCGTCGGGTCACGCCTTGTCGGCGAAAACCGAACTTTATCATTTTTTCGATTTCCGGTCCGCCGTAACGAAATTTTGCTCGCACCCCCCTAGGACCTGGATTGTAGGATTTTTCGCAGCGTATTTCCACCCCCCCCCCCCAGTCGTTTTACCTTAACCGCCGCCCCCTCCAAATTTGCCCTTGCCAAAGGTTAAATCGGCCGTAGCACGAGGTTAATTGGTCATCTTCATTAATTGTGTGCCCGTTTGTTTTTTGATTTCAGTTATAAAACTCCATTAGCCCGCAACAAATCTACAAACATATAAACATGTATTCCTTTGCCAAAGCCGTCGCACCCGCTGTCCGCTCCGCCGTAAGTATATAAGGGGTTATTAGGGGTTACACTAATTGAAGATCGATTGATTGAGAATTAAGGAACCACCGTGTGTCAGAGGATTTGTGTGTTTCATCTTGTCTCAAAAAGAGGGTTGGTTTGAGGTTAAAGAGCAGTAATTGGGTGAAGGTGATTGCAAGGACGATACCTAGTCTTTTAATCAAAATTTTATACTTAAGTATCCGTCACATATTTTCTATTAGGTAACACTTTGATATAAGATCTATTTGTATTAAAGGTTGCGATACCTAACTTAAATTAACTTAGATATAATTACATAAATATTTTTCTTACCAATAGTCAATGTTTGGAAAAAAAACAATTGTTTTATTAGTTACTTCATAATTTCCTTTTTTTATCAAGATAAACATGTATGTAAATTTTAGGTCTCAACATTCCTTACAATTTTGGCTAGTTATTTTTTATTTTTATGTTTAATGCTTGGTATATAATGTGAGTACATAAATGAATATGTATAATAGACAAAGACAATTTCTATTTTTCCCAATTTAATTAATAAGTTAGCTCCCATTATACATATCTATCATAGTAGTTTAATTAAGGTGAAATATTATGAAAGACCCACTTAAAGATTAAGTTGATTACAATGACACAAATGTACCATTGTACCTAAATAAATAGTAAAATAAAATAAGTAGGGCATTAATAGGTAATTGTTATATGGAGCTTTTAATAGTTAAAAATATTGATGAATAGTAAATTTGAATTAGGTACCGAATTAAAAATACATTTCTGAAGATATTTAATTTCTTAATCAGGTTTGATAATAGAATATTACATATTATACAAGTGATCTAAATCAGCATATTAAGTGTCTTGGATATTGATCATTTATTAAACATTTCCCTAAAAAATTAATTAAAATTGTCATTCTTAGATCCTCTCCAACTCCAGGGCATCCATTGTCAGGCCTATTAGCAGCATTGTTTCAAATGGACCCAGCACACAAAACCAACAAACTCCCAGTGCCATTATTGCCAACGGAAGCTTGGTAAAATAACCTTTTATAAGTCTTTAAAATTAAATTCATAACAAGTAATATCTCTATTTAATAAATCAGGTAAATGCTGTCAGAGGATTCCAAACATCAGCTGTGTCAAGAGATATTGACTCTGCTGCTAAGTTCATTGGTGCTGGTGCAGCCACAGTAGGAATTGCTGGATCAGGTATTTAGATTAACAATTATAAACTATTTTTATATTTTTTTAACATGTACATAAACTGCTTGAAAATGGTGTTTGCGCTTGTGTGAGTTTTTACCAAACCTATATTTTTTATCATAATTTTATTATGTATATACCTTATTAAAAATTATGGGATGCTTAATAAAGTTCTGTATTTATTATTCAAAATTCTTTAAAATAAGAATACAAATTATATGTTTACTTTTACATAATATGCTATGCATTTTATTATGCATTGCTCAACATATATTAACTTATTCTACTTTTTATTGGTCCTACTATCTAATTATATATCTTAGTGCAACCATCTTTTCCATTTATTTTCTCCCCTAACGTTTGACACTTTTTCATCCTCACAGGTATGGGAATCGGAGTGGTTTTTGGTTGCTTAATGTTAGCCTACGCACGTAACCCGTCATTAAAACAGCAGCTTTTTTCATATGCAATTTTAGGATTTGCTCTGGCCGAAGCAATGGGCCTCATGTGTATCATGGTTACTTTTTTATTGTTATTTGGTGTTTAATGGAAATGTGGTTTCATATTTCAAGAGGTATTTTGCTCATCAATTATCCATAGATTTTCCATTGAAAATTTATGTTAAGATTAATTAAATAATAAGTTTTAAGATGAAACCCGTTTTTTTATGTGTTAGTTAAAAGAATAAGTCTACATACTACAAATTAATATGAATACTATATTTCCATTGTAAATGCCATAATTAAGTTTTATTGGTGATATTGTATTTTATATGCTATTTTTTCATTATAATAAAATAGTTTTCATCTTATTTATAATTCTATCAGAGATTTTTGTATGAGTATAATTTATATATTGTAAGATAAACCTTAAATTGTATGAACTACTAATTCATTCTTTACTATTTTTGTCATTATTATTAAGAAGTTCTATTACTAAAGAGTAATGACTAAGCTTTTGCTATTTTCAAACAAATTGCTATTTTATTTTTAAGCTTTTGCATGACATTTTAGTTTTGGAATTGTGATTGTTTTATTGGTACAAGGGATTGAAGCATGGTGCAGGAAATGTAAGTTATACAATTTTGTTTTATAAGATACCGTTACTTTACTTCAACTTAACTAAAACTTATCAGTTTAATATTAAGACTAGTTTGAAAGCTAGTTGAGCTATTTAAGCTATTCAATGATCATGAACAATCTTTTTACATTTTATTATTCAAAATTTTAAATTAAATTTTTCTTTCTCTTTTTGTTTTATTTAAATTATTTGAGAACTAAAACAAATATGATTTTATTGTTATGGCTGCAAGCATTATAAGCTTTGACCCACAATTTTACATTAATACTATATTTAATCCCACAAAATTTTATAAGAAACATCTAAAATTAAAGCTTGCATTTTTTTTCTTTGCTTTTCATTTGTTTATATTTCGTAGACACAAATGTTTTAAAAGGTTTGTTCAATGCACTGTTTTGTTTTTGTTTTTTTTTTTTATTTAATGATTGATATTTGATACTATTTACTTATACTCATGCAGGCCATCGGTGGTTCTGCCCCGACACTTGCTGGACAGATTATATTCTTTTTATTTTTATATGATAATAATTTTAAAGTATTTAATTTTGTTTATTTTTATGTTTTTAGGAGCTGGAATTGGAACAGTATTCGGTTCCCTAATCATTGGTTACGCACGTAACCCATCACTCAAACAACAACTTTTCTCTTATGCCATTTTGGGATTCGCTCTGTCTGAAGCCATGGGTCTCTTCTGTCTCATGATGGCTTTCTTATTGTTGTTCGCTTTCTAAGTCGTCTCACGATGTCTTTCGTCATTCATTAAGCAAAAAATAAAAAACATCCCATAACATAAAACCAACAAGGAATTTTTTTAATTCTGTTCAAAATTGGCACGACCGAAAGAATTGCGAAAGACTGTTGTCTGTGAAATACACTTTGATAGGGAATTTACCTGTAATGAAATAGATAATAACTTTAAGACAGCACTTAGGTGTTTATGAAACTGCCTCATATTGTAGACGTATTAAATGCCTAGGTTGAAATACTGTTGTTTTTTTTTGGTTTTTCCTATTTTGTATATTTCACAGATATATAAATAGAATAAATACTTATTGTAGAATCCATTTATTTATTCCTTTTTTTTTTTACTGACATTTTTTATTAGAATCTGTTGGTGATTTTATCTCAATTTAAAAATACAATTTTTTTGCTGTTATCAGTTTTGGCTTTAGGTACCAATGTTACATGTTTTATATAAAACGTAATATACAAAGATTTAAAAAAAAAAATACATGTTTCTTTAATTAAGTTGATAATTTTAAAGTTTCAATCTTTAGGGGTATGAATACTGACCATTTCTAAAGATTTCAATGTAGGCAATTTTCAATTTTTTTGCATGTGGGTCTTCAAAATGTGTGAAGTAAGTGAGTGACTGTATAAAATAAATAGCGGAGCACACGTGCACGCACATGTCAGTAACTTCAACACTACACACTAATTACATATGTGAATTCTAGTGAAATACTAGAACTTAGTTTCATATTCCCATAAATATAGTTTACTGAGTGACATTACAGTATGAACACCTATTGGCTATTATACAAATTGAGGAGAAGAAGGTTACCTGTAAAGGATTTTTATTTAATATAGTCAATTTTTGATATTTCATTTTCAATGTCCAATATTTAGCTCTGAAATTTGTGATATTTTACTTTTTGAATTCAAATTATTGAGTTGTAATTAAAATTACGAAAATTTACATTTCTTGATGCTCGCATGTGCTATACAACTTACTTTTTTTACATATTCGGATAGAGTATTTTTTTCTAATTATAAAATTGGCATATGACATTTAATATTTACTTGTTATTTTTTGACTAAATCTAAACTAAATTGAACTTATTTTTACTTATTAGTATCCAATGTTGTTAAATACCTGTTTGCACACAGTCAATATAGTAAAAACAACTTGGACAACATTTGCCAGTAATTAAGATAGTATACTGTATAATTCCTGTTTGTTAAACATTTATTCGGTATTCCTTGTAAATATTAAATTTCATATGCCAATTTCTTACTACGATAACAAAATATGACCACAAATAAATCTTTATTATATAAAATTTCAATTTCAACTCTCAAAAGTATTTAATTGATACAATGTACGTACTACTAGAAAGTTTTTTCTACTATAAAACATACACCTGCACAAGAAATGAAAAAATAATTTATATTCTATTCACAGTGTCAGTGGCAGCGCGAACTATTATAGATGGGACAGCACCCTGCAGTGGCGTATTTAAGGGGTGTGATATATCACACCTCACCCACCAGTTTATAGATAAGAAGTACCAACACTAACACTAACCCTAAAATTCTATATCGCGTCGCCACTGTTCTATTCATACCTAAGGAGTTGTAGGTAATTCAAAAATATTATTTGTGAATTTCGTCTCACCTCATAATTGTTTTTGGTGTAAATAAAAATGTAGAATCAAAGATTTATAATGTGTGTCTTTGAATTTAAATTTAACGCATTCGTGAATCATGGGCGGAAATCCACTAGAATCTCGGGGGGGCAACATTTTTAACATCAATGTGATGGAGGGGGGGGGGCTTCAATTCCACACAACTAAACGCTGTACATAATATGTATATATTATTGGGGACTAAGCCCCCTTATTCCCTCTACCATTTGCGCCAGCAGCCTATAACTATTATAGAACACGGTGACCTCGGACAACCTAATCAAATACTTGACAAGATAGTAAGACACCTACTGTACGCTCATTTAAAAAAAAATGATTTCGGTTAAACGGAGCATTTTAAGTGCATAGGTATATGACAGAATTAAATTGTGCAGACTAGATAGCTTATTGTTGTATTTGTATACTTTGTATTGAACTAAATGTATACACTTATTATATGTATTATTGTATAAATAGCACGATTTAAGATAGTATACTATCTTAAATCGTGATTAATAGTATTAGGTATCATTTATCATTTTGCTTTCTTTTTCTGTATACCCATATGGTTTACCACTTATAATTAGGACCTATATTATTTATTATACATTGCGATTAAATATATAAACGAATACAAATAGTTTGAACGATTAGAAACTATTCGTTTTAAAAGATCGTTTACCTGAGCAAGAATTGTGTTCCGCTGCAGCCCGGAGTACCCGAGTACATTGTATGAATTATTTTAGGGTAATTAGTAATTCAAAAATTATACGATATTATATTATTATACCGTAAAAGGGGGTGAGTAGGGTCATGGAGGTGAATCGGGTCAGTGTTTTGTATTTTTCTTATTTAATGTGATAACAAATAAAATAATAATGATATCAATAATGTTAATGTGTCTTTGGAAACTAGAGACGCATTACAAAATTATAGATATGTCACAATCATATGATATGATTTTTTTCTATTATCAGTAGATAGTGCAATACTGCAATCTGAACCTTATCGTGTGTTGAGTTTCCACAGCTCAACAAACTTTATGTGGAAATCGCAGATCAAAGTAAGTACAGTGCTTGAAATAAGTTTTTTAAGTTACTTAAACATATTTTGAACTCGAAAATATTTCTTTCGTTCAAATATTATAGATATTTATATTATTTTTAAAAATCTAAAAAAAAAAAACAAAAAAAAATTTGATTTTGGGGTGAATAGGGTCAGTGTGTATAATATATTAATTGGTACCTACCTATAGATTTCTTCCTACGTACGTAATATATTTTTGTTTTTGCTGGATTTTTTTTTGTTTGGATTCAAATGTGTAGGTTGTTATAGGTAGGACATAACAATATATGTGTTTAAACAATTATATAGTGTATATGTCTAAACAACAAGTTATTTTTGTTGTTTTTTGTTTTAGAAATGCCTCGCGAATATATACCTGACACAACTAAGAAACAAAGGAAGAAAAGATTAAAAGTTCAACCAGGAAAAAGCATAAAAGGCAATGATTTTAATATTTCTGAAAGTGAGGATGACCCAGGAGAAGAAAACTTTAATGAAGCTGATACACCAGTGGACATTGAAATTTGAAATGATAGTTAATGAGACCAAAGAAGATCAACAAAGCTCAAGCTCAAATTTAATTAATGTGGGCCAAATGTCTAATATTATTATAAAAAATAATATCAAAGAAGGCACATGGGTCGTGGTTAAGTATGGTGAAACTAAGAAATTATATTTTGTTAAAATCATACAAATATTACAAAAAGGTGAACTTTATGAAAGGTCATTTACCAGATCCAGTAACTTCTCAAGTAGCTACAACGATGAAACCAAAGAACCTATATATATATTTCCAGATATCATTGACTTCTACATATTTAAGCTAGATGCTATTGTAATGATAGTTCCTCCACCAAAGAGTCTGAGCAGGGGTCGAATGCAATTTACTGTGAAACTAAGTGATATTTTAAATAGTATATAATACCTAGGTAGTAAAAAGTTACCTATGTAAAGTTTTATTGTTACCTATATGAATGTGCTTATTTAGTATTATTTAAAAGTGTCATTACCTATCTAAAGTGAATTTAAAGACTGGACTGTTATATTACATATCTACCTACTTATTAATTGTTTAAGAATTGTATTAATTTGTTAAGTTTGATTAAAAACGAAAGTATTATAATGTTAAGAAAAATTCTTATTTAAGTCAGTTTTATTTATTTTTATTGTTATATGAGGGTATTTATTTGGTATTGTTAAAAAATATCATAAGCAAATGTTGTTAATTCAAGGACTGAATAAATTGTTAAATTAGTATTATAAATAAAAGAAAATATTATTATGCGTAATAAATAAAGCGTTTAAGAAAATTCTTTAAAAAGCCAGTGTTGTTTATTTTTATTTTTTATATGAAGGTGCTTATTTTCTATTGTTAAAAAAATATTATTACCTGCCTATTGCTTAAATATTGTATTATTAACTCAAAAATGAAAGAACTGTATTCATTAATTTAAACTTCAATTATGTGTTTTTTTTCATTTTTACTACTTTAAACTATTTTTCACTGATCAATACATTTTATAGGTATAACTTAACATTTTTAAAAATTTATATTTCTGACCCTATTAACCTCTGGGACAGTGTGAATAGGTTTTTAGAGCAAAATAATCATGTGACCCTATTCACCCCATAGTGGGTATGAATAGGGTCACATTTTTAAAAAAATATATAAAAAAATTTGGTTATGCGAATGTATTTTTTTATAATAAATTATATTGGGTGACATCTTACCTTTCATTAAAAAAAAAATAATGAACCTATGTTAAAAACTCTAAGAGATATTTTCAAAAAACCTTTAAAATTGACCCTATTCACCCCCTTTTACGGTACTCTATAAAAATAGGATTTTTTTCTACCTACTCAAAATTTATATCTACAAATATAAACATTACTAATGTGCATTATTTTAAAATTAAACATGAGATCTGTTTTCGAATCGAAAATAATTTTGTAAAAAGTGAAAGATGAACAATATTATGTTTCACGATTCCTAAAATGTCTAAAATCCCTTTTCATTTTTCATTATAGCCGTTTAAGAAATATATACCTTGTTGGGCTCGACGTACTTGTTTTATTTTATTTATAGTTCATAATATAATATTAGATAATAGATACTAAATACAGTAAATAGTAAAATCGTAAAGACCATATAATAATAATACTAACTATAGTCTTAATTACACCGGGTCCAACGTAAATACGTTCAATGCGTCGAAAAACAAAACAGCTTGTATTTCGCAGCATCGGACGCAATTGGAACAGCACTGTCAGAATAGAAATCGCACACACTCACTGGATTTACGTCGGACATGGCCTTATACCTATTTATATCATACTAAAGACATTATACACGATAAGCACCCGTGAGCTTTCTTAATGTTTAAAAATCGTACTAGACACTGTCTAAATAGCATTTCTGAAACTTGTAATCCCAACTCAAGTTTTACTATGCTTGAAAAGTTGTACAGATGTGACCAGGCGCGTATCCAGAATTTTATTTCGGGAGGGGCTGAACAAAATTATCAACATAGTCACACAATAAAACAAAAAAGTGGGTAAGTGGATGTCGCTCTGCTGTACAGTAGGTTACAAGTGGGTCACTGTAATGGATGGTGTAAAATTTGAATTTAATGATATAATATCATTGTATAAGAAAAACGATTCTAAGCGAAAACGGTCCAGTCAGCCTATGATATTACTAAGTATATTTGATGATATTATTGTAAATAAAGTAATTTATATATTCACCTATTTACGTGGACCATTGTTTTAAATTTTTAATCCTTAACTATGAAAGTTGAACATTTTATAAATTTTTAATTACGAAATATTTATTACATTTTTAATTTGATAAATTTTGTCAAAATTCGAACTTTAAATGATTATAAGAAAAAATTGTGCCTATGTATTTTTAATACTTTTCAACTAATATTGTTACAATATATCAGGAGCCTTGCGTTAAATTTTCATGCTTTTTTACCCAACAAAAAAATTTTTATTGATATTTATAGAAAAAAAACTAAGAAAAATGAAAACTGTCAATGTCCGTAAATAGCTCAAAAAGAGGCAAAATATTTTCAAATTTTTTTGGTGTATAAAAAATGAAAACATTCAGCAAAATTTTAAGTTTTGTGATTTTTCCGTATTTTGTCAAGATTCGAACTTTAAATGCTTATAAAAAACTATGACTAAGGATTTTTAATATTTTTCAACTGCTATTGTAACAATATAGCAGGAGCCTTGTATTAAATTTTCAAGCTTTTTTACCCAACAAATAAAGTTTTATTGACATTCATATTTTTTGGATTTTCTTGAAATTTCAGGGGGGGCTGCAGCCCACCCAGCCACCCCCATAAATACGCCCCTGGATGTGACCTTTAAGTGTCGTTTTGATCAGACTGCGGTCCCGATGAAATGATACAATTTTTTTAATTTCCCGCTCTTCTACTACAGTGGTTGTCGACGTTTGTTTTTTAATTTTTTTTCGTCTGATTATGAGTCCCCACTGACTGATTCTTATCACGAGTGGTGTTTGCCGTTTGGGTCAATCGATGAAAAAAAAAATCATTCACCTACCGAAGAGTGAAGGGCAATCAATTCTGTCAAATTTTTACGCGAAAGTCTGTCACTTCTGCCGTTCACTCCCGACCAAAAGCTACCATGACTAACTTAGTCACTAAAAGTTCGTATATGCTGGAAAAGTTGGGCAAGAAGAGCCCCAAGGTAAGTGCATCAACGATAGTATGTATTACAGTATTGTTCGTCTTGCAGGGTTTTCAACAGGCACTTAAAGTCAAATATCCCTGAAGTTTGGTCTAGATGTAAATATACGAGATGCTCTGGACTAGCCAGAGCAACAATGAATTAGCATCCTGCTTCAATATGATATCGACGTCTGTCTAACCTTTAATATGTTTAAATAGCTTTTTGCAGCTTCGTTGCCTGCATGCCCTCTATGGAGTAACAGTCAACAGCGTCGCAACCTCAATGTTCATGAACACGTCAGCTATTCACTGTTGAAAGGGGCTGGCATACCTGTCCCTAAGTTTGGGGTAGCCAAGACCGGTAAAGAGGCAGCCGATCTTGTGCGAAGTCTGGGACTCACAGACATTGCAGTCAAGGCTCAGGTGTTGGCTGGTGGTCGAGGATTAGGTCATTTCAAAAAAGGATTCAAAGGCGGTGTTAAAATGGTTGACACGTTAGTTGCAATTATACTCAATGATAATGATATTGATGTGTATGTATACAGTACAATTTTTATGAATTCAGGGCTGAAGAAGCAGAATATGTATCAGATCAGATGTTAGGAGATTTTTTGATCACAAAACAAACCGGAGAGAAAGGCCGGATTTGTAATGCAGTTATGGTAGCTGAACGCGTGTATGCTAGAAAAGAATTTTATTTTGCTGTTATGATGGAAAGAGCATTTGGTGTAAGTGAACAAGTCAATTAAAATAATTAAGTCACTAATAAGAAATATTAACTGCTTATTGATATTCATGAAATGTTCCTATTTTAAATAGGGCCCAGTTTTGATAGCGTCTTCTCAGGGTGGTGTAAACATAGAAAAAGTTGCTGAAGACAATCCTGAAGCAATTTTATACATGCCTATTGATATTACAAAAGGTAATCATTTGTTATTAAATTCATCAGTTGATATTGTTTTTTTTTAACATTAATTTGTTGTTATTGCAAAATGAGTCATTAAATATTATCTATTTAAAAATAGAAAAATAATAATAATAATAAACATTTTAATAAAACTAAAAAATAATATCATATAATATTTAATTTAACAACAACATTATTATTTAAATTATTTATTTTAAAATGATTGTTAAGACAGTTTAAACATTTAAATTTAACCCATAAGGTCAATTAATTATGTAGTATACAGATAATAATCTTGATTATGAATCAATGTATTTGTAACATAAACTTTGTATTTAGGTTCAAAGTGGAATAGATTATTTTATTCAAAATGTATACATATTTATTATTTATACTAGAATGCAATTTCAGATTCAAATTTAAAAATATAATTTACTTATAAGTGGGGTATGGATTTTTAAGTAAATTTATACTTTTAACGAGTAAAGATATCTTAATTCTAAGTAAAATGGACAAGAACCTTAATCTCATAGTCATATTATAATGTTAATATTCAGTAATACTAATAAAGGTTTAAGTTAATGGTTAGCTTCTTTGATAAATAATATGTTTATGTTTATTTTTATTAGGTATTTCTAGAGAACTGGCTTTAGATGTGATCACCAAAGTTGGATTGACTAAAAAGAAAGATGAAACTGCAGATGTTATTTTGAAGTTATATGACTTATTTCTTACCAAAGATGCTTTATTAATAGAAGTTAATCCTTATGCTGAAAGTATTTCTACTGGAGGATGTAAGTAAAATATTTTTTAAGCTATTTTTTTAAATTTTTTTTATATAAACATGTTAAATTGTTTTTAAAGATTATTGTTTGGATGCCAAATTCCGATTTGATGACAATGCAGAATATAGGCAAAAGGAATTGTTTGATTTGCGTGATTGGACTCAAGAAGACGAAAAAGAAGTAGAAGCTTCCAAATTTAATCTTAACTATATTGCACTAGATGGTAATTAATTAAAGTCTATAAAATATTATATATCAACATTTGTTATTCAATTTCCGACTATAATTCTGTCAGGTACCATTGGTTGTTTGGTAAATGGTGCCGGTTTGGCAATGGCTACTATGGATATAATTAACTTGCACGGTGGATTCCCAGCCAATTTCTTGGATGTTGGAGGTGGTGCTACTGCTTCTCAAGTGAAAGAAGCTTTTAAAATCATCACATCAGACCCTAAAGTATGAATTATGTTTAACTACCAATTATAAATAAGGCTTTCTTTAATAAAATTAAACAATTATAAGAATTAATAGCCAAATGTAAATTATTGTATTAATATATTTAATCTGTTAATAATAATAATATAAGCTTAAAAAGTTGAAACCAGATTTATTATTAATTAAGGTGTGTGCTATTATGGTGAATATTTTTGGTGGAATAATGAGATGTGATATTATTGCTGATGGAATAATTGCGGCCGCTCAAGAGTTGAATCTTAATGTACCAATCATTTGTCGTCTACAGGTATATTGTTGTATTATCATAAATCATAATTAATAGTTACTGTTACAGTTAGATGTAATGGATATTTAACTTTTTTTTCTTAATTTATAGGGTACAAATGTAGATGAAGCAAAACTTCGCATTGCAAATTCTGGTATGAAAATTTTACCAGTAGACAATCTAGACGAAGCTGCTCGTTTGGCAGTTAAATTGTCTGAAATTGTGAATCTAGCTCGTGAACAACACTTGGGTGTCAACTTTGAAATGCCCATCTAAAACATAAATTAAATAATCTACCAGTAATTACTAATATGTTAACTAATACTTGTTCTCAAAGTCTATTGCACATTTGTCTTCTAATTACTACACAAAACAGATCAGTATAATACATTTGATATTCTTACTCGAAGCTTTAATAAATTATTTGAAGGAGACATAAATATGCCTTAACATTTCTCTTTTATTATTTTATTAGTTGTTGGACACCCTAAAATTAAATGGTTTTTGGTTTCTTATACTCTTAAAAATTCATGATAAGTATGGCTACTGTCTTAACAATTTTTTTCTTTTGTTGTTTTTGTCAGATTAATTGTTATATATAGTATTATAAATAATTTATACTTCTAAAAAGTTATACTAATAATGTTCTTTTGTATGATAGTTACCTTTATAATTAAGTGTTACTATTGATTTAATTTTGTGACATAATTTAATTAATGAATTTAAACCAATTCATTGTGGTTTTTATTTTAAAATGAAAAAAAAGAAAGTATTATTGCTGTTGAAAGTCTCCTTAAATTATACAATTTGTAAAGGTTTATTCATACTAACAGCTTTAAAAATGACAAGGCACATAAAAAAAATTGATGTTCATGCTAATGAGTTAATCTTATGGTCAGTTGTGAATGGCATGCTATGTTGTTTTTTGTGTGTATTTTATAAATTGTTCCTTTAAAAAAAAATGAAAAATTACTTATATTTAGCTAAGCTAGTTTAGGTATCTTTTTAATTATTAAGTATAATTAAACATAAACGATAATGGCTGTAGATACTTAGACTACCATTACCTTATTATTATTATTACTATTGTTGTTAATTCTACATAATATTATTGTAAATTGTCGTGAATATAATAAATATTAAATAATAATAAATAATTCAAATTGTTATAATGTGAGATTAATTAATGGGTCATAATGTTTTTAATCTTTATTTCTATAGGAATTAGTAGGTCTGAAAAAAGTTATTAACTGGTAATATTGAAAAAAAATCGTTTATAGGTACTACCAAATTGAAAACTAAGACCCTGCTGTAAATGTTTTTCTTATAGTTGCTACCAGTGTTTTATTTTTCAAATAAAAAAAGCATTGTTTTAAATCTTGAGTCATCACAATTTATTGGTTTTATCATAACGTGTTTTAAAAAAAAATATATGTTATATACTTACATGCACACGAATAGTGGTCGAAATTATGTTTTCTTCAACCTTAGGGGTGGTTTCTGGTAGAAAATTGGAAATAGTTTGTACCTATGAGGTGTAAAAATAGATAATGCTCAATTGTTTTCAAAAGCGTCTGTTTCTCTGTTTACAGACATTTTAAGTTTCCAATTTTTTTTGTTTTTAAATATCAATAAAATTTTAATCTTTTGGTTAAAAAAAGCTTGAAAATTGAATAGACGGCTACTAGTATATTGTTTCAAAGGCAGATTTTAAATATTAAATACATAATCTCAATTTTTTTTTATAACCTTTTAAAGTTTGAATTTTGCCAAAATTCGTAAAAATCACGAAAATGTGCAAATTATTATGAGTTGGAAATTAATAAAAAAATTTTTTTTTAATTTATGATTTGAAAATGTAATACGGGATTCCTCATAAGTTTGTCTATCGTTATCAATAAAAAAATGTCCACCAGAAAGTCGAATTAAATTTTTGTGTTCGTTTGGATTTCAAATTTTTACAACATTGTATAAATATCTAACTCGATTTCTCATGTAGCGATTTTGTTGTAATTCATAAACGAATTACTGTAGATACTTGAAATTTACACCATATGTTTATTTTATCAATTCTTATACTTGTTAAAATTAAAAAAATATTTTTAACTTGTTTTAAGCTATTTATGATGGGCAGTTTCAAATTTCAATTTTTTTAGTTTTTTTTTTCCATAAATATATATTTAGAATGTTATTTGTTGAGTAAAAAAAGCGTGAAAATTTAATGCAAGGCTCTTGGTATATTATTCCAATAGCAGTTGAAAAATATTAAAAATACATAGGCATGATTTTTTTTTATAACCATTTAAAGTTCGAATTTTGACAAAATTGATCAAATTTAAAATTGAATAATTATTTTGTAGTTAAAAATGTATAAAGACTGGATTGAAAATTTAAAACAAGGTTCCACGTAAATTGGTAAACAAATTACTTTATTCACAATATTAACATAAAATATACTTACTATAGTAATATACTTCCTTGATAAATGATAATAAATAATAGCAAGATGTCTGACTGACCCCGTTGTGTCGCGTCTTCGCTCACTGCTCAGAAACTCTTTTTGTAACAATACATTCAAATCATTGAATTAAATTTTAACACCATCCATTACCTACTGTGACCCACTTCATACTTGTTACCTACTGGCTACTGTACAGCGACATCCACTTGCCCGCCTTTTTAATGATCGATTTTAGTATTTTACTCGATATTAAGTACTAAAAACATAAAAATAAAATACATTTGTGTGAATGCGATTTCTGATTTCTCTATGTAGCGCTGGCCAGAAAACAGACAGACAATAACATCCTTTTAAAATTCAAGCATACATCATTATATTGATCTGGTTCTGGTAATTAAACATTATTACCTATTATAAATGTGGACATGTGGCCTATAATTTTTGTTGGCGTAACACAAAACTAGATACGGCCCGCGGCAGACTAGCCACTATATAATGACTAGATAGTGAGGACATGAGGTTTTTATACCCGAAGGCCTATCTGTACCTACCTAACGAGTCACAACCTAAGTCAGTGCCCAGTGCCCACACTATATATATTTTGCAGGATCCACGTGGCAACTCGTTTTTGGTTCAGGTCTCTGGACCAATATTCTTAAAACGGTTGTAAATAGTTATAACTACGACCTCACTAAGCCACAACTCCTGAATTACCTATATTATATAATATATACTACCTTTACCTTGTATCATACATCTACAAGGCTACAATCATATAGTATCGACGTATCGTATAGGTAATATAGTTATAATATAATCATTGCACATCCTAACCTACCGGCTACCAATTTAAACAAAAAAATCAACAGATGTCCTCAAATATTTTACACATACTCATAGGACAATACCACACTGTAGGTATTATGTACTAATAACAAAAGTATTATTAACCAAAATATTATTATTACTAAGTAGTAAATATTATCATGGTTTGTACATTGCCTTTTATTTAATGATATATCAGTTCTATTACCTATACGGCTATACTATAATACGGCAAATGTGTACGAAGACCCCCCCTGGGTACGCCACTGCAGGTACCTTTATAGTTTATTGCACCTATTTTATAATATAAATATTTTAATCATAGCTACACCTTTGACCTATCTAATAGAGTAGGTAGGTAATAAACAATAATTTGAATACGCATGTAGGTTATATTAAATCACGCTGCTGGATTGTGGACACATACAAAGTAAACACAATTTCAACCGATAGTGGTCAAGAAACATAACATTATACATCGTCAAAACATCATACTTAATATATATTAAATTTTTCAATATCATTATCGAGCTCTGACTCAAGTAGTTTAATCCTTTTCCGATTTTTTTTTTTTTTTTTTTGTGAAACCACGGCCGAAATCTCGTGAGACGCAGTGTCGCAGTGTCGTAAGTAATAATGCTTTTTTTCATGGACACATTTTCGTATCCATGCTCGTCGTTATCATGGCCGTTATCAGCAGGCCCATTGTTTTGGTATTTACTATTTACATGACTGCAGCCTGCCGCCAGCCGTGATCCGAACAAAATAATATTGTGTATCGCAATATTAATTATTATTATTAATTTTTAACTGTTTAGACTAGACGACGATAAGTTTGTCTGTTTGTGTTTTTTTTTTTTTTGAATTTTTTTCTTTTGAATCCAAATCTGTGCGCGAAGACCGATCGGAGGCGACCACGTAAAAGTAAGTACACTTTCTCAGAGTGGCTTCCGTACTATAATTGTCCCGACGACGACGCTATACTGAAAAACCGTAACATATGTCTTCGGCATGTGAACGTTTTGCGACTTAAAATCGGTGGGAAACCTTTTGAGTGCAAATCGATCATGGTAAAATAAACTAAAAAACCTGTGGACAAAACGGTATGACGTTTTTTGTGCTGTCTTACCATGTTGACAAGTGCATCGTCGCGCTTAGAAAAACCAAATAACCTTTTGTTTTGTAAATCAGATTTCGCAGCAACGGCTATGTTCTTACACTAATATTATTGCTGTGTACAATCGTCAATCGTTAACTTCTTTTATAATGACCAATACGATTGGTTTGTAGATAGACATAATTGTTTTTTGTTTTCTCTTTGCGTGTAAAATTTACTCGGTCGATTTGTCCAGCTCATCAGTTCAAATTCTGTTTTATCTCTAGGTATCACGTCTATATTACTGGTTTCACTTAAGCGTTGAGCTGACTACCAATTTGCATCATTCCTGTTACCACGACTTGCATTCTTCTTGCACGGTAATTTATTTATTATGCACTCATGTATAATGTATTAATGCAACTTATATTTTACACACAATTATTTCAAGTGTTAACACTAACTTTTATTTAACCCATTTCCTATATGTCATGGTTTTTCATTACAGTGACATTTTCAGCATTCAAAGCATAGCAACAAGTGCCAGTTGATGATTGGTCATTGACTGTTGTTTAATGTCATTTTGTGCCATTGTTTATCAAATAGTTATAAATTATTCAACTATTTAGCACTTATTGCCATGCTCCTCAGTGCATTTGTTTTGCTCTGTAAATCAAAACATTTCTCTCGTATTCTGAAAATCTACTGTTTGAAGGTCAGTAGCAGAAAAAAAATATAGGAATGTAATTTAGTCTATAATTAATAGAAATTATGCACAAAGGTAGTTAAATAGAACCAAAATTCATTTAAGTTAGAATTTAGTGATTTTGTTTATTATTCTATAGATCATGAATTTATAATGAAAATTATTTGACTATTAATTTTAATCTTATTTCTTTAGCAGTACCATTGACATGATGTATTTTGTTACTTGTATAACAATATATTATTTTGTAAGCAATTACTGTAAAAATGTATTGTTACATAATTAATTACATGTTTTTTTAAATGTTTAAAAACATTGATACATTTTTAATTTTTTTTTTTTTTTTTAGATCTAGGTTATTCAATTTTTGATAATGGGTGATGAATAATAATTGCTGCAGGTAGTCAATCAACTTTAAAACTCTTTCAAAGCTATGTTTTCCTCAGGTAAACTAATTGTTTTAATAACTTAATGTGTTTATCCGCCTTTTTGGCTTCTAATAAATTTTAAAATGCTTATAACTTGCTTTAAAATTAATATAAAAAAAGCGAACACAGGGTCCTAGATAATATTTCTACCTTTAAAATTGATAAATTGTCAATCCGCTCTAATATTAAAATTAATTTTGTAAAAACTAAGAAGGCTTACCTAACCGATATTAAAATTTTAAATGATGTGAATTTGTCAGATAAATCTTAAATATATCCTCTTAAAATGTAATTTATGTTAAAACAATACTTTTTATTTTCACTGTATAATAATTTAGATAATTTTATAACAGTTATTACATATAATTTTTAAGCTTTTTTGCCTCAAAATAATACATTTAAGACATAAGTTTAATGTAAAAACTGAAAAATCACTTTACCTTATTTAGAATTTGATTTTTAAAATAATAATATACCTATATAAAATATTTACAACTCAGCTGATCCTATGCTTCAACTCCTTTTTGGTGTAACTCACTGCAGTAAGTGTGACTCAGCCACCCTGGTAGGCAATGTGCGGAAATTTGATTTGTTACATGCTTGTGCCTGATCTGCCCGATTAACCAATAGCAAACAATAATAAATAAATACTATTTCTATTAATTATTTCTTCTATAATCAATAGCAACCATTTATAAACAAATATTTCCATCATAAATCTCAAAATCCCTGTTTGATCACTTCTATTAATTGGTCGTAACGTGATGTTATATAGCCTATAGCCTTCCTCGACAAATAGACTATCAAACACAAAGAGAATTTTTCAATTCGAACCAGTAGTTTCTGAGATTAGCGCGTTCAAACAAACTCTCCAGCTTTATAATATTATTATAGATATAATATTCTAAGATAATATTTTGTATAAAACTTGATATTTCATCTGTGAAAGTAAAAACAAGTTCTCAAAAATGTATGTAGATTAATGCATATTGATTTTATGACTTATGCTAATACCTATTACATAAATTTAAGATTTAAAAATAAATGACAGTATTTTTTAAGTTATTCAGAAATAAAATTTCAGTTAAAACATTCAATTTGATCAATTAAATAAAATAATAATATAAATATATATAATATCTTATATTTTAGTTTGGTGGGGATGTAGGTATATTTATTAAATGAGCATTTAGTAACAATAAAATGTAAATTAATATAAATAACAATCACTAATATATATTATAAAAAAAAATTAAATAAATAATAAATATTGAACGTATCTAATTTTAAAGTCTAATGATAAATATTCACTATTTATTTATTTATTACTTCAAGAAGATAAGGTCCCCACTGAACCATTTATAGATTTAATATATAATCATTAAAAATACGTTTAAATTAATTGTATTAATTTTATAATAGAAAATTATTGACTTTTAAAATGGTCTATTATAAAATAATAATATCATGCTATAAAGTTTCATGAAGTTAATTTATTTATTATTTTAATAATATAATGTCAATACTGAATATCAATTACTTTTATCTTTCAGTTCAAGGTAGTGAAATTGCCTGTGATCATTAAACTTTGAGCTTATTCACTGAACAATATTCAAGCATTCCCAATGAAAAGTGTAGCTGTTGATGGTACATCAGATAATTTACGTCAATTAAACACCACTTGGGGGAAGAGTAGAGGTGAACAACAAACAGAGTTGAGTGCAGACGCACGGAACACAGTACGAAGAACATTGTTTGTTGAGCCGTCCGCTAAATTAGAAAGCGATGATAACATTTTAACGGATGAAAACGAAAAAAATCCTAAGTGGCTATCGTATGTATTACAGAGGTTAGGTGAAGATACAAAAACTATGCCTGGTAATAGTCAAACACCACCAGCCAAAGAGGTAAAAGAGAGAGAGCCGGAAGTACAAACTGGAGTTGGACCTGATTGTGGTATAAAGGACGTTTGGGCTCATAATTTAGAAGAAGAGTTTACATCAATACGAAAACTTTTACCAAAATATTGTTATGTGGCTATGGATACAGAATTCCCAGGTGTTGTAGCCCGACCTATTGGCGATTTTAAAACAACTGCTGATTATCTGTACCAGTTGTTGCGATGTAATGTCGATCTGTTAAGGATCATTCAATTAGGGCTTTCATTTTTCGACGAAGATGGTAAAACTCCCACTGGTCCATATACTACTTGGCAATTCAATTTTAAATTCAATTTGTCGGAAGATATGTATGCCCAAGACAGTATTGAGTTATTGACAAATTCCAGGTAATAGTAGATTTCTATAATTGTTGTGATTAGCATAATACAGTTAAATTTTCTTTATTTTTCAGAATACAATTTAAGAAGCATGAAGAGAACGGAATCGAACCTTTAGTTTTTGCTGAATGCATAATCACATCTGGTTTGGTATTGATGGATAATATAAAATGGATGACATTCCACAGCAGTTTTGATTTTGGCTACTTAGTCAAGGTGTTGACCGATGAAAAATTGCCACAAGAGGAGTCAGATTTTTTTGATATGTTCTCTCTGTACTTTCCTTGTGTGTATGACATCAAGTATCTGATGAAGAGCTGCAAAAATTTAAAGGGCGGTCTACAAGAAGTTGCAGATCAATTGGAACTGAAGCGGATTGGGCCACAACACCAGGCTGGTAGCGATTCTCTACTAACAGGCATGGCTTTTTTTAAAATCAGGGACATGTATTTTGAAGGAATGATTGACAGCAAGAAATATTGTGGTCATTTGTATGGCTTGGGCATTACCACATTGAACAATGGCCAAATTCGGTACGATAATAATGAAGGGCCACCTAATTAAATATACCAGAAATACATTATTAATATAATAATAAATATATTATTTCCAATGATCGTGCAGTTGTTTACCACTGATGAATGGTACCAACTATACATTTTGACTTAAAGAAACAAATTTTAAAAAAATTATGTGCCTCGGGTGTAATTTTTCTCTTCTCAATTTATTTATTCTGTGTAAAATTTTGTTTGCCAACTGTGAATGAAATTAGAAAATGATAGAATTAAATGTAGTTTAGAATTATTATGTTAAGAAAAAAAAATTAAAGAAAAAAAAATGGTCTGTATAATAATAATTGTTGTGTAATTTTTTTATATTATTTTTTCATTTAAGACAACTATATGCTTTTTGATTTAAGATATTTTTGTTATATATTTAACACAATTTCAAAGCATGCACATTACAGTTTTATTTGTTTTGTGAAGTGTGGAATTTGGTCCAATGGAATTCAGGACCTTTAAATAAACTAGCTATATTTCATTTTCTGGTACCTGTAAATAGATTAATAAATCATTTTATGAAATGAGTAATATTATGTCTATAAATGTTATGTTAGTATCTGAACATGAAAGAGTATATCGTGTTCATAATAGATCATGGGAATATGACATGTGTACCACAAGTCCACAACCTCCACATTATTGTATGCAAACATAATATTAGATTTTCAATATTTTGCGGTAAAATATTTGATTGTTAACAACTAGTGAGAATTTAATCACTTGATAATGATAGTTATGAGTATGGACAAGTGTAGGAAGTGATTACTTCTAATAATTTACATTCGTGTTTCTATCAATAGACTTAACTTTTTAATAATATTTTAGAATAATTTTTAGTGTGTTCTATCATTTGAAAATGTTAAGTACAATTTTTTAAGAAGTACTAGATCGAATAGTTATATTTATTTTAACAAAAAATATTAAATTAATTAGTACAATAATTATAAATGGTCAACAATTTACATGGAAACAATCTGTACTACTATCTAGTTTGTGTAGTATTTTAATATTTATAAATAAAGCTACTAATTGAATTATTTTTCAATCGAAGAATTTTGGTTTGAATTTAAAATATATGAAATACAAATTTGATTTAAGATATTATCATTCTAAAATCTAAAATGGAATGTAATTTTGCATATTTCTATGTCAGACTATAATGCAAATAATGGGATTTAAAAAAAAAATTTTTGTTTTATCCATCTGTACCAATATATAATATTTTATAACATTAAGATTATTTTTCAAAAATCCTTTCAAACATTTTTTTTATTTATGAAGCTATATATATGTTTTATATTTTTGAAGTCTTAAATATAATAATTATGAATTTATTTGATTTTGTTATTGGTACTTTGGGACTCTGTTATATTTCTTTACTTATGAATTCCAATGTGTATGCATAATTCAAAATTTTTTAGTACTTTAAATTACAGCCCTGCTAAAATATTATGTCTATATTTTTTTTAAGTCAGTATCTTAGGATGTTATTAATATATTAGTATTGTCGGCAATGCAGTTTCGTTGATTGTTATTTATGATAAAATATTAAAATATCCTGGAAAATTGTAAGCAAACTATATAGACTAATAGTAATAAATAATAGCTAATATTGTTGTTAATCCTAATAGGTACGAATTTAGTATTTATATTTGTACCTAAACAGATGAGTTTGTTAGAAATAGCTGGTATTTAAGTCATTAAAACTAATATAACTCATTATTATCCTCCTACTATATTATAATAGAATATACTGATATACCTAATATAGAAGATGTTTTTGTTGTCAGTTATGTATTTTTATTACTATAATACCAACTTTTATTATTTATTAGGTATTAAATAAAAAATATTAATTGTTAGGTATAGGTATACATTTAATTTGTAAAAAAATTATATCTAGATTTTTATACATTGAGTCATTGAGTGAGTCATTTGAATGGTATAAAAAATTATGTACGATAATTCATCTTAAGTGGTCTATTATTATTTATTTAAAATATTCAAAACTTAATTTTAGGAGGACTTATACGGCGTTTATGATAATTTCAATATTTTATCTAACATTATTGATAAAGCATTAAAGCCAGTTTATTTCGTACATATTATATATTTTCTCTTAAGCTTACATGACTACATCCAAGTCGTGGTATTAAAAAAAACACTAAATAATACCTTGTATGTAGCTTGAAAACTTGATTTTGTAAAATAAGTATGATAATTATTGTGTGAAAACGTTATGACATAGGTATGGACATAGAATAATATTATTATTATTCTATGGTATGGAGTTTCTCACTGGTTTCTGACGTAGATCATTGTATTACAATATTTTGTTTATCAAGTTTATCATTTTGTGAACAAAAATCATATTGTACATTTTATTTTTACGAAATAAAAATACAAAACGTGTTCTTATGTGATTTATGACAATTATTGGCATACCCACATTTGTGAGAAAAAAAATTGTTACCTACCTAAGTCCTAATTAATATATTTAATATTCTTAGGAGAAGCATTTATTCAAATATCAGCGAAATCTTTAGAAATCCTTTAGTACTTATTTAAGAGGATGTCTGCGCACTATTTGTTTTCTCTCTCTGGCCCACTCGTAACATAGACAAAACGCATTTACGCAGCATCCTTTTTCTATGTTTTTAAGTAATCTTAGAGTAAAATCACTCATTACGACAAATATAGAGAATGACATAGGTATTGATTTGTCTAAATATTGTCTCAAAACAATTTAAACATAATTTATATGTACAACAATTTTTTGTTTATTTTGAAAGTCGAATACAAAGTCAAATAACAATAAAATATCAAATCGATATGTCATTCCTTCAAAAATATGATTCTCCATCTTTTTTGTAATGGGTGATTTTAGTGATTTTACTCTAAGATTATTTAAAAACATAGAACAATTATGCTGCGTAAATGCGTTTTGTTTATTCTCTGAAACATGTAATCTCATGTTACTCTTCGAGTAAAAAAAAAATCAATTATTATTATTTATTTTATTATAATAATATTTTTTGTTTGTAAATTAAAGGTATAATATACTTTAAAATTTTAAATGATTCGTTTCGTAATGAGTTATAAATTATAGCCCAAAGGTGATTTTCCATTTTTAATTCATTAAAATTCGTTTATTGATGATTGATGAATATTAAATATTTAAATCATACTGAAAAGTCATATATAGATCTATTTTAATTTACTCGTTTCTATAGTATAGCCATCGTAAGAACGCTACTCGTTCGCGCATCCAAATGACCGAGCTCCGCAGTTTCGTACCCAAGTTTCTCCCACTCTACCATCTAGTCGCCACCGTAAATAGGCAGTAGTGGCAGCGACAGTAGCGATGGCTGCGACAGTGGCGGCGGCCAGAGTTGACGGCGGCCAGCGTTCGGGAAGATTTAGTGGTGGGAATGCGCGAGATCGGATGAATTTTGGTCGCCGCCCAGTAGCGTTCTTACGATGGCTATACTATATAATATGTTATTATTCTCATACAAAATTGTTGGGTCGAGTCGAGTCGTCGAGATGCCTACAATATATTAGGTATAATATTAATATGTGTGTTCTGATTTGTTATTATTACTGTATAGTGTATGCTTATCACTTAAAATGTAATTGATTGACAACATAATAATATTATTCCGATTGTGCTAAGCGATCGGAATTTACATTAAATGTAGACATTAATATAATATTATAATTCATACAGAGCACGGTTACAGTCCATGGTCTTCTTCGAGCATGGTTATAGTCATTTTTTATTCCAACGAGTATAGTGAAGTAGTTTCTTAGTGTTATAAAAATGTTTATACTAAGGATAATAGTCCTTAAAATGGTTTACATAAATTATAAATAGAAAGCAGATTCACCTAATGCTGGATCTAGTATTGATTAAACATATAGGTACTTGGACCATTTTTACAAATGATTAATGTTGGTAAATAATCTAATAATAATATAATATACCTACCTAATATTCATTAAAATTTTCAAAATTTGCCCCCATATCTTCCAAACCAATTGTCATGGACCTATTATCCTAGCAACTACACAATGTTAAATAACTCAAAATCTACTCGTTCGAATATCGATTCTGAAACGTAAACGTTTTCAGAAAAATTATCCACTAAATAATTTACTGTAGAGAAGGGAGGTTCCCATTTGAGAAACAGAAGGTTGAATCTCCGCAAGACACTGCTTAAGTGCTTCAAGAATTTCAAAATACGGTCTACATATTATATTCATAGAAATTCCCAAAATCAGATTTTAGGTAAATGCATTATTGAAGAAAAAAAAGGATGAGAATACTTGGTGAATCATTCTGTTTAATACCTAATTGTAAAAATATGATATGTTTAGGTATTTAAGACTCTTCGATATAACAGTTTGGACAATGTTATTTATTGTAATTGTGGTATTAGATATAGGTGTAGGTAGATCAGACAGTGTATTGTGATTTGTGGGTAACCCATAATGTTCAATACCAATTGTGATTTATGATAAAAGTACAACACGCCGACAAATATGTTTTTGAATTTTAATATTTCATACTTTGTTATAATAATTATATATAAATATATAATGTTACGTCATATATTCTAACGGTTTTTATTATAATTATTATAGGTATATGGTAGTATAGTACTACACATATATCGTTTATCGTTGTGTATTATTTCTATATATTTAGGCCGTTATTGTGTTACACGTTGGTCGTTGGTTATAACTTATAAGTATTGGTTTGAGTTTTAATAACAGTAATCTTATTTCTTAACTCTAAAGTATTCACCATTATTATTTATTATATATTATTTCCATTATTATGATTTATGTTATTTGTATACCTTTGTATGTACCAATTTTACAGTCTTACAATAGTGACAACACTAATTACACCTAGTTCAAATTCCAAACCTCTCGAGGCGCGGGTTAAAGTTGACATTTTTGAACAACTATAATTGAATAAAATGTACTACTTAG